CGGGCTGGTTTTTTTGTTTGTTTATTTTTTTAATATATATTAAGTCCAGCAGTTTAAGAGAATGAGGTTAGAGAGTCATCAAACTTTCCTAGTCTTTGAGTTACTGTTTCAGCCAGTTTACCGGGCACCGAAGTCAGACTTGTTTTTCTGTAATTCCCAGAGTTTCCTAACACTTTTTTTTATTTACACTGTTTATAACCCTGCCACTTTGCAGTCTAATGTTGCCTTGTGGAGAATTTCCTGTCTTCTAAGATATTACCCCAGTGTAGCTTTCCCAGTGAATCCCTCAGTAAGGCGTTGTTCCATGCTGCAGTGTTGCATTTTAAGAAGGTGTGTGTGAATGGTCAGTTTGCCGCATGCGCTGACTGGGTGTTCTGTTTGCGCAGGAAGCTCTTCACCAGAGGAAATGGTCACCCTCTTGGTTCAGGCTGGCCTCTTTGACACAGCTGTCTCGCTCTGCCAGACCTTCAAACTCCCCCTGACACCTGTCTTTGAAGGACTGGCTTTCAAGTATGTGACACATTATCATGCTTTTAAGGTTGTATAACACAAATGCTGAAGAACTTGTATTGCATAAGCTTTGTGGAATTATGACCTGGCCTGTCAACTCTCAGCTGTCTCAGAAGCCTGCGATTTTTAGGTGTGTGTTAGTTGTGCTCTTGGAAACAGCTGGGTTTAACTGAGGAGGGCAGGGATCAGCAAAAGGGAAGGAGATGGTTAGTGATACCCTCTCCTCACTCCTGGGGTGGGGAGGGCTAAGAGCCACCCCCTCAAGCCGCTGTGGGGGAGTCCCACACGTGTGTGTGCATCTAAGCTTGAATTTTCAACCTAAAAGGATCTTCAACACACATCAGGAGTGAGGGGCTGCCCCCTAACATCTAAAAATCAGAAAACATCAAAACAGGAGTGTTTTAAATCCTTCCTGGCGTCGTGGCTCTGACACGGGGTGTCTGGGCTCTGGGGCTGACAGCATTGATGTTCACTGAGTGCAAAGAGGCTTTCCTCACTGTAGCTCAGCTGTTCTCAAACTGTGCCTGCTGGAGCACATGTGGGGCTGGCTTCCCTTACGTTAGAGAGAGAGATACTGGAATACACCTGGAGTACTTCTGCAGCATTTCTTTTCACACCGGCAAATGCTGTGATTCCACAGGGGTGTATTGGAATCATAAGGGGGCCGAGCTAGGAGTGCTTGAGAGGCCATTCCTGCTTGTTGACACATGCAGACTACGCTCCCATGCTTCGTGTCCTGGCTTTTGCTAGTGCCTGCAGAACAGGTCACGTTTGTTTGGGTCAGGTTGGTTATTGAGGGGCTCTTGTCACTTAGGAGCTAGGGTGTGATTATGGTTTTTTAAATTGACCTATCTGCAGAGTTTAACTTCAACCAAGTGGTTACCACTGCATCTCCTGTTATACCAGCTAAGCCAGGAACTGCTGGGAGTATAACTGCATCGGGGAGGACCAACCTGACTGAACAGTTTCATGGTGTAGCTGTGGGAGGGGAGGGCATGGGGACCCCAGCTTTGTGTGCAGCGTGCAGTGTATGATGCTGGATGTTGTGTGTTCCAGATGCATCAAACTGCAGTTCGGCGGGGAAGCGGCTCAGGCAGAGGCCTGGGATTGGCTAGCGGCAAACCAGCTCTCCTCTGTCATTACCACCAAGGAGTCCAGGTAAGGGTGCTTGCTCTTCCTGGAAGAGACTGTTCAGGGCTGCTCTTCAAAGGTAGACGTTGCTGCAGCTTCTTGTGGTAAAAATCTCTTACCAAAACCAAGATTCGTGGGTTCATAAAAATCCCAGGATTGCAGCTGCTTCAGAGGGAACCCTGTAGCATCGAAGCTTTTGGGGAAGAGGATGGCACTCTGGCAGAGTAATCCAAACACGCCCCAAGGCTCCAGCCACACACAAGCAGCAGCAAAGCGTGTGTTTGCCTTTCCTCTATACCTCACTTAGGTGTACACCTCTACCCCGATATAACACGACCCAATATAACACGAATTCGGATATAACGCGGTAAAGCAGTGCTCCGGTGGGTGGGGCTGTGCACTCTGGCGGATCAAAGCAAGTTTGATATGACGCGGTTTCACCTATAACGTGGTAAGATTTTTTGGCTCCTAAGGACAGAGTTATATCAGGGTAGAGGTGTACTTGTAAATGCACTGTTTTAAATGCAGGCATTAAGCACATGCTGTTGGCCTGGTCACACCTCAGGTAAAACCAGCAGTAGGACTGCTGGTACTTGACAACATTGCATTTCCTTTCTTACTTCTAACTCTTGCTACAAGCTCATCTCCAGTTGGCTGCCCCCTTTCAGCTCCAGGTCTCTGTGATTGCTGTTTTCCATGTATCTATTGGGGACTAACGCACAGCTGGTAATGCACAAGCTACCCCATTGCAGTCTAAGCGCAGAAGTAGAAAATGATGTACTCTATCCTGTCTTCTAGTGCAACAGATGAAGCCTGGCGGCTGTTATCTTCCTACCTGGACAGATATAAATCCCAGAACCATCTGTATCATCACTGTGTAATCAACAAGCTCCTCTCTCATGGGGTGCCGCTGCCCAACTGGCTTATCAACAGTTACAAGGTAAATGTTTCTGTGTCTACGTCGAAGGAAGGAGAAGGGGAAGAGACAATTGTGTGGCTGTGATTGCTTCCAGTACATCTGCTGGTCAGGAATTTTGTGCTCATGCAGTTTATCGCGCTCCTATTGTAGTTCAGAAGCCAAACCAAACTAAAATAATTTCAAGGGCCAAAGAGTCTGATCTCCAAACTAGACTTCCCCTTCCCCAGCCTTGGAAACGGGCAACTTTCTTAGCTGCTACAAAGCCAGGTGAACAGGGCAGCTTGGCTACATCTTGGATTTGGTCAGGCTGCAGAGGGTGTGGGGAGGCATCAGAAGTTAGGGTCTGGGAGGAGTAACTTTCCCTGTTGAAGAGGCTGCTGTGTTTGGGGCTGTGGAAGGGCAGGAGGTCAGCGCGGGGAGGGGAGGCTGCTGTGTGGGGTGGGGATGGGGCTTCTGGATAAGGAACTTAGATGGTTGCTGGGAGTGGTGTGGGGGGGGGAGGAGGAGAGGCGTGGATACCAGGACTCTTGTATGGGGTTGAAGTGAAGAGGGTGCTAGGAGGGTGCATTGTCAGTGGCTCTTGAGGGTTCTTTCAAGGGGAGAGAGCATGTTGGGGGGCCAGGGTCTCCTGGAGAGGGTAGGGGCTCTTCAGGGGTGGAGGGTGCACTGAATGAGGCAGGGGCTGAGGAAAATAGTATGTGATACTGTAATTACAAGTAGGCCGAATTAAGTTTGCTCAGGGGAAGCTCTCTCATGCTCTGTTTTGCAGTTTTACTATTCTTTTAACATAATTTTTACGTAGTTTTCTAAGTTTTGTAAAAGCAAACTGAAAATTCAGCTATTCCATCATGTTGGATCATGCTGACCTAGTAGCAGTAGTAGGTTGTCATCCTTTGTGTGGGCCAGACACTGAAGGGGGATGAGATCCACATCTTGCCAGTGAGTTTCACAGCTGTCCTTGTCCCAGTCTCGTGCCTCTTCTCTCCAGATCTTCTCACCTCTAAATTCTAGATGGGTAGCTTCCTCCTTCTCCCCTTCACTGGGGGCTTAGGCACCAGCAGGGAGAGCACTGTGACAGCAGAGACCGTGCCACAGCGCTTGGTTGCCTGGACTAGCAATTGCAGGGAATGTCAAACAGCCCTGGGATGGAGCATGCTCAGTGCAAATGGAATCTTTGAATAGTTCAGCTGTTAAACTTTTAACAAGCTTCTACTGATCAGGTGCAAACTGAGACTTTCTGAGGATTTGGGCAGATGTTTATGGGAGAGCAAAAGGCATATCCATGACACCATGGTCACACACCCCCCACCCCCCACTCTGGCAAATTTCAAGCTACTGGTCCAAAGCAGGGAGGTGCTAGAACTTACGTGTAAAAGAGTTGGAGGAATTTTTTATCATGGGGCAAAAAAGTGTGGTGTTGCTGCTCTTGTTCTGAGAAATGAAACTTTCCAGTAACATTCAGCACGGGAAACTTCAGCACGAATAGTTAGACAAAGTGATAAGCAACTGAAAGCAGGGTCTTACCCTGGGAAGTGTTGGGCAACCGTCGCCACTGTGGTGCTACCTGTGCTGCTGCTACCTTGTGCACCAAATCAGTTCAGCTCGGTTGAAGTTTAAAATGGCCCAGCTGATTGGGGAACCATTACTCATTCTTAGGAGACTTGTTTGTTTCTTTGGTTTGAATTTCAACCCAAAAGGAAGATAGTTGAGGGAGTGAAAAGGGTTGCCAATGGACTGACTGTGGCTTTGCAGTGTCACGTTCGGAAACTTGGATTTCTCTGGCTCCTGGGGAGATGCTAGTCAGCTTGGAAGTGTGGCTAACCCCATTTTCAAAAAGCAGCCGTAGTCTCTGCAGAAATCTTATACTCGGCCCTCTCCAATGAAGCCACTGTAGCTTCATTTAAATGTTTGGTCCTTTGGAAAGGAAACACAAAGAAACTTCTGAAACTGTACACTCAGGAACCAGAAAAGCTTTCCGTGGCAGACATAACTTCGTTCCCATGTGTGCCATGCACAGTCTGAGTAACAGACCCATGTGGTCATTCCTTGCCCAGCAGGGTATAATGGAGAGGAACAGCGCTTCTTTCTATCCTGGCTCATCTAGTGAGGTTGTAAGGCAAGTTGTGTAACTGAGAATGAGCCACTATCCGTACTTGTAAATTGGGTGTATTCTAAGGGCTAGGAGGTATTAGGGGGCACCAGAGGGTGGGGCTGTACTAGGGCAGGGTGCTTGTGGGGTGAGCGTATTGGGAAGGTTTCGCTGGGGGGCAAGTGAGCCGGAAAGGGGGCTGCTTGGGGGGCGTGATTGCAGGAAGATTCAGAAGCCTGGAGAGGCAAGAGCCAGCAGGTGCAAGATCCCAAGGGCTGTTTAAAAAGGGGAGTAACAATAGAATCAAGTGCTTTTGGGGGGAGCCTGGGCGAAGAACGCAGGGGCAGGAGCGAGGAGAGTAGCTTTTGTTCTTCGGCAAGAGCATATCCCAGGCTGTTGCGTGGCCCTGTGCATACCTGTGAGAGGCTGGTGCCGTGGGAAATGTAACCCTGAGTGTGATTACTGCCCCATGCTGAGGGCAGATCCCCAGCCCGTCTGGCAGCTTTGAGTGGCTCAGGCAGCAGAACCTGGGGAGCCCTGGCTGCAGGCATGTGATCAGACCACTTAGCACGCTGGGAACCCCGGCCGCCGGAACCTCCCCAGGGACCACATAGCTTGGAACAGCCACGCCAGGACCAGGGGTGGAAAGGGACTTGGACCCAGGGACTGTGTGTGGCTGGTCCCGAGGCTCCGGACCCGGGCTCTGGGCAGTGGCTGCTAGGGCATGAGTGACCCCTACACCCCCTCACAGCCTAGGCCCAGGCTATCACTAACTCTGTTTGCTCGCAGAAGGTGGATGCTGCTGAGCTCCTTCGCCTCTACTTGAATTACGCCCTCCTGGAGGAAGCCGTGGACTTGGTGTTGGAGTACGTGGACGCCTTACTGGGGAAGGGCCACGAGCACTTTGGGATTGAGGTAGGCGAGGGCTGAAACACACCCCCCCCCCCCGGTCCCGCTCCTGCGACCATTCCCCACTGCCTTAGCAGCTGGTGGCAGCCAGTTCAGAGCCAAGGTTCAGGGCAGCTCCTCCAGAGTGCCCTGCCTGCAAAGAGGGGCTCCCAGCTACACACTGCAGAGCCCTTCTGGCTGGGCCTCTAGGGCAGCGCCTCCCTATATACAGAGCTGGATGAAGGGCGGCGGAAGGGCAAGTGGCGGCCCCATTGCCCACCGCAGCAGGTGCGCATGGCAGTAGTGGAGCTGCTGGCCGAAGCATGAGTGAGGCCCATGCGGAGGAGCCCTGCCCAGCCCATTCCGCTGTGCTGCTCAAGCGTGTGTTGGTGGGGCAGTTCGTCTGTGCTATTACTGATCCTGGGTCTGTGTAACATGCCTGGAAGGAACGTGAGGCTCTTCAAAGAACTAACCCATGGCACCTTCCTGACTGGGTTAATGTGACACAACGGGGAACATCACCGGGTTCCTAGCTCCTCCGAAGCCAACATCTGGCTGCCGTGTGACTTCCTCCTTGCCCGTAACGCTGCTAAGCATCTCTGCAGTGACCATAAACCAGTTTAAAGGAGAGGCAGTGTGTCCCAGTGGCTAGAGCACTGGGCGGGGACTCTGCAGATGTGGGTTCTGCTACTGGCTTTGCCACTTTCCCCTGTTCCTCGGCTTCCCCATCTGTACAATGGGGATAATTGTGGTCTATGGATTAAAAGTGCTAGATAAGTGCTTAGCGCTGTAGTTAGTACTAATGGCTACTCTTCCCTTTAGCGTCCGTTGTCTGCTATAGCACCAATGGTGTGGCTGCCATACTCCGCTATTGACCAGCTGCTTCAGGCCTTGGGAGAGAACACGACGAACCATCACAGCTTTGTGGTGAGTACATCTCCACGGTGCTGCCACCCAAAGTCCTAACCGAGGGGATGGGAGCATTACCAAGGTGCACCGGGGAGGAAGGGAACAGGTGGGAGCCTGCTGATAAATGGATGGCTACCAAGGCTTAGTCTGATCTGCCTTTAACAGAAAAAGAGCCACTAGGAGGAATAGAAGACGCTTAAAAGCGTTGGCAGAAGAGGGATGAGTATCTGGAAATCTTGCCTGAACTGCTCATCTGTGTCTCCTAGCAGGGGAGTAAGAGACAGTCCCCAGGCCACTGAGACTTGCTGCAAGGACCTCCCACTTCCTCCACGACTCTTCAGCTGTATGGAAAAAAGCCGGTGTGCCCAAACTGGTGCCGTGCTGCCTGATGCAGCACTGTGCCATGAGCTTCCTCCTGGCTAGGGTTGCAAACCCTCCCGGTTTCGCCAGAGTCTCCCAGAATCAGGCTCTATCTCCTGGAGGCGACTGAAGCCAAACCGGGAGATTTTAGTCACTAAAAGTCCAACGGGGTAAAGGCGGGCTCCCTGCCTGTCCTGGCTCCGTGCCGCTCCTGGAAGCGGCTGGCACATCTTGGGGGGTGGGGAAACACCTCCACATACTGCCCGAGCGCCGACTCTGCAGCTCCCATTGGTGGGAACTGCGGTCTGTGCTGACAAGCATTTGTGCCTCGCAGAACTTTACACGTCTATTAAATGAATTTCTAGTCTCTAAATCCCTTTTGCCAAGAGGCTGGAGGGCTGCCAATAGTGAGATTCTGAATGGCGAGGCAGTGGGCTGAGGGCGTGTACCCGGAGGGCTAATGCAGGCAGTGGAGTGATTAGAAATCTTCCTGACTGAGTTGAAAAGGGGAGTAAACAGTACGTGAGTGGGTGGGGGTCCCGGCTAGCCAGATGAGAAGTTGTTTCCCCCAGCAAAGGCAGGGAGAGCTGGGCGGGAAAGAGGCTCTAGCTTGGCTCAGCACGGATAGTGCCTATGGAATCCAGAGCAGGGAGAAATCTGGAAAACAGCAATGCTGCGAGACCTGGTGATAGTGGCCAGCAGAGCAGCGATTGGCTGGGGTGGAAGCCGAAGGAGCCTGCAGCTCTGGGCTGCGTGTGCAGAGGCAACGTGCGAGGAGCAGGGCGGTGAAGGTCCTGCACTCTGGCATGGCAGCACTCAGTTCTGGGCACCCCCTTGCCCGAAGGGGGCTCCCGGGAAGGGGGCTGCAGGAGCAAGGTGAATGTGGCCGGGCAGAGATGAGGGAGCACTGTGCCCTAGCACCCTGCTGCAGGCTCTCTGCATCCTCCAGGGCTGAGGGGGCCTCTCGGCAGAGGCTACAGCTAGGCTGCCCCATTCGCTAACCCACCCGGCTCCTGCCAAGCCGCGGGTACTGTCATTCTACCCTGCGTGGTGTGTCCTGTGTAATCTGTGTCCTAAACGCTTCTGGCGATGGGGTCAGGGGAAGGGGAAAGGGAGGAAAAGGTGTGGAGGTGGCTAAAGCAGAGCTGACAGCAGGTGTAGCTCTCCCACTAGCAGGAGCCAGGTCTTGCGAAGGGACAGCGTGATCACGATGGTCTAAGTGGAGACTTGAGGGGGGGGGAAGCGACTGTTCTGTCCCCTGGTGCTGCTCTATCTCCTCTTATGGCTGCCCTCACTCTTCTCTCCTAGCTGTACCAGAAGGTGCAGGACAAACTGGAGGACTACCAACAAAAGGTTGACATGGCAACCCGAGATCTCTTATATCGCCGGAACTAGCAGTCTGCGTGGCCTGACGGGGCTGGAGACCCAGCCCCAGGGAGAGCTTGCAATGTTCTGCAGTGACCAGGCCTTATGCATGGGGCTGTCACCGTGAGTGGGAAGGTCGGGGTCACATGCCTGCCCCATGTGCGGCTGGTGGTGCTATAATACAAAGTCTATTTTTCCATAATGGTCCAAAAACAGTATTCCCTGCCCGAGTCAGGGGATTGGAGAGCTTCTATTTTTAATGCGTTGGAGACCCAATCTGTATCGCTTTGATGTAACCACTTTCAATCAAGAAGACAGTGGGTTAGTTTATTGCGCTGTAATTCCCACACTCCGTAAATCCCAAGTTCCCTCCATTTCTGTTTTTACTGAATGCCTTTGGCCGGGAGGTCCTGTCGTTCTTAGCCTGTATTATAAATGGGAATGAAAGGGTTTGTCATCTTTATTTATTGTGGCGTTTTTGAATGATCTTTAATAAAATGAAACTTTGTTACAAGCCTAAGTTTAGATTGCTGTGTTAGGCCATTGAAAGGAGCGTGTCCCAAAGCTGCAGCTAAGGGGCACTGGCTTGGCATCTGTGCGAGCGCTCAGGTGACTGGGTAACAACTGACTGGTCTGGCCTCTGGCGTTTTGAGCTGGCTGACAACTTCTGCACATTCAGCTGTAAACACTTAAGTGGCAGAAGAAAACTCCTTAACTCGGGAGCAACCTGCTTGACGGGCAGACTCAGAATCCGAGACAGAATCTCAACTTGCTTTAAAACCAGTTTCTGTTTAGATTGTAAGCACTTGGGGCAGGGACTGTCCCTTAGTTCTGTCTGCACAGCACCTCGTGACCATGATCTATGGGTCCTAGGTGCTGCAGCAATACAAACATTTACTAATCCTTGTGGCCATGAAGAAAACTTTCCAAACATGAACAGCGCCTCGCTGCTGCTGTCTCTGCCCGAGTCTGCAGATAGGCAGGGGTCTGTCTGGGGGCACAAGCTCTCTCTCAGCCCCTCTGTCCCGATGGAGCATCTGCTCTAAAGTCAGATGACAGCACGCTAAGGGTCAGCATTAGTTAGTCCATTGCTGAGGCTTTTAGCTGTGAGCCCAGGGGAGGTGGGAATTGGAAAGTGCAGAGGGGCTAGGTGAGATCACATAAGGCAGAGAAGCACAAAGGAGGCTGGAGAAGGAAGGAGGAAACCAAAGGCACAGAGGTGCCCATAAAGGGGAACATTTTCCCCCATTGCATGGTGCAGGTGCTGAATGCAGGGCACCAGTTCCTAGACTCTGACTCTAGTGCTTGGAGGGGGCACAGCTGGGTCATGTCTGGCTCTTCTGTCCTAGGCAGCAGCCACTGCGTCAGAAGAAATGGCTCATTGCCTGCCTGTCTCAAGGGGAATGCCAATCTGCAAAGCAAGGCTGTGGGCAGCTGGGATTTGTAGCACAAAAGGATTTGAAATAGTGAGTTCCTAGCTGACATCCGCCTCTTCCCACGTGCCCTGCTGGAGAATTTATTCCCAAGCCAAGCGCATTGTTCCTAGCCACATGTATGAGGCTGAGGTTCAACAAGGACAAGTGCAGAGTCCTGCACTTAGGATGGAAGAATCCCATGCACTGCTACAGACTAAAGGACCTAGGTGGCAGAGAAGCTGGATATGAGTCAACAGTGTGCCCTTGCTGCCAAGAAGGCTAATGGCAATTTGGGCTGTATAAGTAAGAGCATTGCCAGCATCTTGAGGACGTGATCATTCCCCTCTATTCGACATTAGTGAGGTCTCATCTGGTGTACTGTGTCCAGTTTGGGGCCCCACACTACAAGAACGATGTGGAAAAATTGGAAAGAGTTCAGCGGAGGGCAACAAAAATGATTACGGGGCTGGGGCACATGATTTATGAGGAGAGGCTCAGGGAACTGGGATTGTTTAGTCTGCAGAAGAGAAGAGTGAGGGGGGATTTGATAGCTGCTTTCAACTACCTGAAGGGGGGTTCCAAAGAGGATGGAGCTCGGCTGTTCTCAGTGGTAGCAGATGACAGAACAAGGAGTAATGGTCTCAAGTTGCA